AGTCGGGGCGACAGTAAGCCATTACGGCCGGCGCCGCGGGAATGACACAGCGGCCCACCGGCGGGTACGAGACAGCGTCGGGGTGAAAGGATGGCGGACAAGGTCTACTCGAAACCTTACCCTGCAATCAAGAACAGCCACCGTATAAACAATATGGCCTAGTCTGGATGCCATCCAGGCTAACTACAGCAGTGCTATAGACGAATTCCAGCAAATTGACTTCCTTCAGTTATTTATAGACGTGTGTTGCTTGGTCCATGAGGGGACCCCGAGGTGATAGCTTACTGATGTAGAGTATAGAGTAGATCTTCGGTCATGTAGGATTTTCTTCTCCAGTGAAGGGGTCCCCCAGGCTCTGGGGTCTCCGATCAGCCGAGTAGGCGGGCAACACAACAGTACGGTATTCCCTGCGTAGTCTCCACCAGACTCTTTTGCAGGCTGAATAAATAGTAGAAAAAAATAAAAAGTCGACCCTCTATGGCCGACCAACTCCCCTGGCTAGCTATACTCTTTTTATGCCGATTTCTACAATTTATTCAGACTTCAAAAGAGTCTGGTGGAGACTAAATGGATCTAAATCGTAAATAGTCACTGTTACTTCTAGGTCCTCCTGTCCAGTCAGTTGTAGAACTGTATTGCGTAATGTCATCATCATATTAGAGTAGAGTAGAGTAGAGTAGAGTTGTTCAGGCCGGGTAGGAGTCCTGTTCCAATATTGAGGAGACATAAATGATAACTTTATTGCACAACAATAGTACAGCGTACAAAGTATGGCATCTACTGGTACATAACATAAATTTCAACTATACAGACAATGCCATAGAATTTGTGGATGCCCTTTCCAATGCCGGTTTCGATTCCATTGTCATGCAAGATCCAAGCAGACGTATCGATCGGCCGGGGGGGGGGGGAGTTTTGGCCAATCACAGCTCGCAAAAAGTTTGCCCGCCTGTTTACTCGAAAAACTATGTAAACACAACTGCCTTCTTATTTCAGACAGCTTATGCGTGAAATTCGCCTGTATTTATATTTTGAGCATGTCTAGTTTTGACATGTATCTGCTGGAGTACTCTGTAATGATAATAACTAGCTGTTAACGCGATGATAGCCGCCATCGTGAAACGCCTAATCTACAGTACAGTAGCATATGCCTTCTGACTGAAAAAATGAAAACATGGTTAAAAAATTAAAACATGAAGAAATCATGTCAATACAGCCCAAAATGGAAGATTTAAAAAATCCTGTCAATAGTGCCAAAAAATGGCACTGCTGACAGGACGATCCTGTCAGCAGTGCAGTATTTCCTGTTATTGACAGGATCGTCCTGTCAGCAGTGCAGTATTTTCTGCTATTGACAGGATCGTCCTGTCAGCAGTGCAGTATTTTCTGCTATTGACAGGATCGTCCTGTCAGCAGTGCAATATTTTCTGCTATTGACAGGACGATCCTGTCAATAGCCTCAGGCTTTCACGTTACGGGTTTCACGTCAACCTAACGATTTGCGGCACTGTCGTGACTCTTTGGTCATAGTTACAGGAAGCGGAATTTCTTGTTTTTTTTTCTAGGAACAGGCCAAAATCAATGCGCGCGCGGACGTCATCCATAAAATTTACTTGGTGTGGCCTTATCTACATATACAGACATTCTTCTAACTCACAACCTTGTGAGTTAGGGGGCAACTAGCATTTAGCACTGCACGCCTAACAACGAACTGGAACAAGTTTTAAGCTGTTAAGAGTTCAGTTATTGAATGCAAGTAAATTTGTAGCAAAAAAATAGTGTGTTATTGAATGCAAGTAAATTTGTAGCAGAAAAAATAGTCTGTAGCAGCAATGAAATGTTCTAAAAAGAACTGCCACGTGTTGTCGATCTGTGACACACTTTTTTACCCCAGACGAATTGTCTAAATGGTTATATAAACTAACGGGCAATATTCATCTTTTTATGCACTCAATTTTGCTGTAGTATTTCTTCCACAGATACAATTTCCGTTCCTCATGTTTCACTCTCCGTCAGAGGGTGGCGTACAGACCCATCACAGACACATGTATAAACACTAAGGCCGCCACGTGCGACATATACACTGTACACGAGGTAAGGGCACACGTGACTGAGTAACTCATGTTCTCTGGTGATTTTATTCTTCCCTTTTGACTTCTCCCTTTCTTTGATTTTCTTTGGTTTTCTTCCTTTCTTTCTCGGTTTTCTTTAATTCATTTCTGCCTGGTCTAGTAAGTGAATCGTCACTGTAGTAAGTCTGTTCTGTTAATGTATTAGGGAGGAAAAATGATGCGATGTAATTAGGTCATGGATTTTTATTACAACACCTTATCCATTAACCAAACCATACAGACGTACATACACGGATATGTGGTGCAGTAAATAAGGAAAATGCAGACCATTAAATAGTAGTAAACCTTCTTCATTACCCAGAGAGTGAATGAGGAGGACTTTCCTAAATCCTAGATTTCTTTGTGGTATCTTTTTTCTTATACTTTCTTACACATTTTCTATACTCGTTAATATTTCCTCACTAAATATAACGAAGAAAGGCATGATTGTATGCAGTTCTAGTTATTCACGTAGCAACACATCATTTACGATGTGGATTATTAGAAAGTGTATGCAATAAAGTTGATTTGCAACACTTGCAAATTCAGAGAATTTTTCATTCCATTTTCAATATTTGGCGATTGATTTAAACGTCAACCTCACTCACTCCTGAGTAATATCGTCAACCAACTACAGCGTTAATAAAAGACTTAAGTGATCACAAGTTTCTTATACATAAAGTTTCTGACTAGAAGATAAATTATCATGATATTTCATATGGCAAAGCAAACAATTGCGAGTGTTGTGCTGCGGTGAGTATACTTCATACGGCATGCAAGGCAAAGCAGCTACATCGTTCACTACAGACAGATATTATTGTGTGAACAAAGAAATATCAGTAACAACGTTATATCATCCCACGAAAAACAACATCGATAGTAACACGTGTATACAACAAACAACAACTTCATTGACCATATACGAGTAGCATTTTGTATATAGGAGACATAGCTATAGAGCATCTTTCTAAAAATATCTAAAAATAACAATTTGCTCATACTAGCTTCCAACAAAACCATCGAAATTTATGTACAACAGTCAACATAAATAGTGGCATTGCAAACCTGGACAAGCGGAGATGTTACAGTGTATGACACATTATGTACAAGTACGTAAACCTGACACTCAATATATTTCGTACACGACCAGCGTAGAGTAGGGTAGCGTGGGTTTTCTTTGTCAAAAATCTGAGAGACTGAGATCGGTAAGCCTTTTTGTGCTGATTAAGAAAGTTCAAGGTCTGATTCCGTATAGTCCTGACTAAAGTACTGTACCTGATTAGTAAACGCACCCTCTTCGTTGCCGATCTTGAGTACATTTTGTACCGGTTAAATTCAAATAAATGTTGTTCGTTCTCTCATTCTCCCCAGGAGCAATCACAACTCATTTCAGATCCAGATTACAATAGACTGTCCCAATATTCAGATCACTCAGCCGACTGAAAGCTCAATGTACACCAGTTAAACATTATTTCTCGCAACATTCATCAAAAATCCACAGGCTTTAGAATGACATAAGCTAATATTGTATCCAAATAAAGTTAAGTCAAGTTATTCTCGACGGGGTTTCACAGATAATCTAAACCATTGTACTGTAAACGATTTACATCCATTTTAAAACTGATGTTCATATTTTCAAGATTCACGTCAGACCATTAGATCGTTATCGTTAATACGACAACCGCCACCTCAATTCCGAAACAAGTAACAGCTAAAACAAAGCTATATAATGAATTTACAAGGCCACATACAATATGTCAGGAGCGGTTTTCGTGTCCCTGTTGAGTGCAGATAGCACGTAAAACAGTCTTTAACGCAAATGGTTTGTGATAACTTTTCCCATTACGTCCGTATCTGACAAACACACGGCAGATTACACACTTCGGATCACCCTTGTGTAAAATGGTGCACATGTAGGACTGTACTTTGTGGTGAAATTACTGGAAACTGGTAAGGCTACGACGTGAAAGCAGCTGTCGTAATGGCTAGTTTAATGGTGCTGTCACCAGACAATTTGTTCCGCTATATTTAACCATGTTACCAGGGCCAGGAGATGGGTGGTCTTGGAGTTTTTCTTCGCAACTACAGCATTGAGTCATTGTTTGGCACATTTTTCTTAGAGCAGGGATATTGGAATGTTGTTGATTTCAATAATTTTCTGTACAGTATATACAACATTAAAACATTGATACAATTGGCATCGCGCCAAGACACATCTGATTCAAATTTTTTACTGGTGACCTACAGTATGTACAGAACGGATTGGCACAAATTTGAATCCTCGACTATTTAATCACCATTGGTGACCGAATCCTAAATTTCCAGGGGATTAAACGGAAAAGAAGAAATATCTGGATATCATGGCTTGGTTATGAATTAGACTTCGGCTTATTTTTGACGCGGTTTTAGGCGTTTTTATTGGGCTTTCCTTGTCTTCTCTAGTTTTTTTTTTCGCGCATTTCATACTGTTCTGCCAATGACAATATGTAGCACCTTCTTGCTAACTTGCTACTGTCTTATAGCCACCAAAAGATCTGCCTGAAGATTTGTAATGAATTGGGTTTGAGCCGAGCTAGGATTTGGCTGGAATTTGTTGATCGCTTCCCGGCCATGGGGCTATGTGGAATTGTCCACCTCACTGCCAATCACATCCTACAAAGTACCGCAGACAGTTCACCTCGTAGTACTAGTAATACTAGAAACGATGTTTACCTTCGCATGGTCTAGTCTAACATACTGTTGCTCTGTTTTTCCTTACTCAAACACATCCATATACTAGTGTATGGTGACCAGCCCTTCCAGTACTGTCCTGCTACATAATGTAACCCAACACCACAGAGTGTCTGCTACAGTACCAGTTACTATGGTGACAGACGTCTGGTCCAGGTCACGTCCAACCACGTCAAGAACATGTATCGTTTCGAATGTCATCTAAAGTTAGACTTCGAAGCAGTTCTATCGCGAAAAATATGCTCTGAAATAACTGTAAGTTTGTTCAGGTTTACTAGCATCCTAAGTGGTACGAAGGTACTGAGAGACCTGCGCCGGCAGAGACCATGCAGCCACTTCCAACACCACCACATTCACCTGTTCAACATGTGGCAGAGTCTGCCATTCACGGATAGGCCTGTTCAGCCACCAGAGACGGTGCCAGACCCCTCCAGTGCCAAGCCCATCGTCTACTCAGACGGAAGGAGGCCGATGAAGTGGTACGACCATCTGGTTTCTCTCTCTAGTGTTTTACACGAGGTTGCTGACAGATTCTGCGGTTTCCACCCGAGGTAGAAACACGTCTAGGTCTATGTCGTTGTTCTTGACGTTCAGCGGACTGGGGTTCATGGTGAACAGGCTGAAACTGGTGGCCGCGTTGTTAAAGTCGGGCGAGGTGCGCGCAGTGGAGTACCCACCCGAGGAGGGCTTGTTCGGCGTGCTCCCGACATGCCTCGCGTTTCCGGCGAAGAGGTTCCACCGGAAGTTGGAGTTCCCTCCGCTGGGGGGCGAAATGGCGAAGTCCGGGCCGGTCGGGTGGGTGGCCCGGATGTTCCCGGCCCCTCCCCTGCCTCCTCTTCCTCCACGGTTAAAAATCTGCCGGAAATTCGCCGTGAAGATGCCGTAGACCAGCGGGTCGATGCAGCTGTTGGAGAAGGCTACTAAGTGGACGATGGGGTAGCCGTAGTGATGGAGGGAGATCTCCTGCATTTGTGATAGACTGCCGTATTCCTCCATAAGCCAGCAGACGTAGAGAGGCAGCCACGTCAGCGCGAACACCATCACCATGGTGATGACCATCCTGACCACCCTCCCACGCCGCTCCGACACGCTACCGAGGCAGGCCTGCCTGCTGGACGTGCTCCTGTTGCTGCCGTTGTTCTCTCCCGGCCTGGGCTTGAACCAAACCCGCATGGCGATCTTATAATACAGCACGCTGATGATGAGAAGTGGACCGAGGTAGCAGAGGATGAACAGAGCCGCAGTGTAGACCTTCTGTGAGCTCTTCGACGGCCAGAATTCGCCACAGATGAGGAAGGTGACTTCGTCGATCTTGACCTCCTTCTCGTAGCAGACGACGAGCTGGGGGATCATGATAATGGTGGCTGCCGTCCAGGACCCCACGATCACCATGATGGCCTGCCGGTTCGACATCCGCGTCTTCTCCGGGTGCAGGATCACTCGGTGTCTGTGTGAAGAAAAAGACAAAGAGTTATTCTCACGTCAATACTGGTCAAAGGAAACATATAACTACCAACACAGATGACCTTTCATGGCAGCAACGCTTTATAGAATATATTCTGGGCAAATTCAATACTATGTACAACATGTAGTAGGATCTACTCATGAAGCGTCACCAAAAATAGTCCCTGTCACACATTCAGAACCTTCCCTTGACCACCTCATTGGCTGAAGTTCAGGAGCAATCTGACCTACCTTTACCTATACAAATTGAATTCTATCGGATTTGAGTTAAATTTAAGTCAAAGTTCTATTGTCTCTCGATTTTTTAAAATCAAATAACGTGAATTTCCAAGAATAGATTGAATGAATTGAAGAGTTGTTGCCGCCAAGCTGTAACGACCCTTTGTGGTAGATAGGTACATTGCAACAAGGTATCATGTCGATCGTAAATCGCTAGGAAGTTGTACGTCAAATTACCACATCTTCAGCAACTAGTAGATATAGAACACAAATGATCAAAAATCCCTTCTCATACTGAAATTAATTTCTAAGACTCTCTACTTATTGTATCAAACATGAACATTCGGCTGGCGCAGCCGAACAGTAGCCTACCTCGCCGAACACCATCCAACCGCAAAAACTGACCTTTTACTCCGTGGCAGTCCTGCATTCTCATCAGTTGTTAACTCCAATATATTATTACTTACGTTTTTAAAAGATTTCAATTTCCCCCTTTGTTATCTATGTATTGTGTCCTCTCTTTGCCATCATCTATCATTGGGTGGGGAACCGGACTTGCGCTTTTGAATTTCCTGTATTTACTGTTTTTGCCTGTCTCAAAGTTGCGTTTGTTTTTTTCTTTTTTATATGTATCTATTTAGTGGTGCCGTAAACATAAGTACTTTCCACTTGAGTGCGGCACTACCATGTCTTGTACCTTTTTCTATGTGAATGAATAAAAAAAAAACACCATCCAACCACACCCGACCTTGCTCCTGACCTACTCCTAACCATAGTTGGATTGAGTTTAGCTATAGTGTTCGGGAGGCCATGGTCGGCTCTATGTGACACTGGCTTTACAATTACATGATGAATATTGATGGAAACGTAGTTATTAGCAGAAACTAAGCTGATTTATTAAGCCCAATTATCTTCCACGCGGAACCAACAAACGAGTCTTGATGGTAATTATCTTTATGAGACCCTCCTGAGGTTGTCTATCAGTCCGTTTGCCTGACTACATCATCACAATTAGCTCCTGCGGGAGGCGGGCTCCAGGATCATCGCTCATAATTTCCTCCGAAATTGGGAGCAGCGATGCGCTACGGAAAATGTTCCGTCACACAATAATATAAGACAACTGTTGGGCCGCGTTTGTTACAATATAAATGTAATAATGTATCTTGCCGGTTAAAGCGAGTTGTGATTTATATTTATGATGTTCCAAGCATTATGATTTTCTGGAGAGTGTACGTGTACATATTTTACGGTGTGTAAAAACCATTGATTGACCTGTGAAGGTGAATCGTTCTCTGCCTTAGCTTTGTGTTTCTAAACACCAAATAGATGATTCGCTACTAGTACATGGCCTAGTTCATTCAATATTGACCATGGTAAATATATATCAAAGACATAGACTTTCTCTCTCACATAGAGAAAGAGAGAGAGAGAGAGAGAGAGAGAGAGAGAGAGAGAGAGAGAGAGAGAGAGAGAGAGAGAGAAACTTTCTGCAGCTGTGTTAAGTGATCCTAAAGTCTTTGTATCCTGCTACCTACAAAACACTTGTCAATCCAGGATCATGAACAACCACAGCGCAAATCTACAGTTACAATGGGGTCGATCAATGTGTGAAGAATAAATCTCCTAAACCCGAGCAATACAGCCTTACTATGCATGCAGAGGTGTATATATAGGCTTCGGCTTATACTAGTATTACTTTTGGCGTGTTTTAGGTGTTTTTACCAGGTGCGGTCTTTATTTCTTTGGTGTAATGTTATCTCACAACCTCCACAACAAGCACAATCTCACAACCATGTCATCAGCTTGGTAGGTTTCATTAGACTGCAGATTGGCAATGTCCCTGGACTTAACCTCCCAGTTCGCAATCACGTACAGCGACACGCTGTTTTCGTGCTGCCATCACTGCAGGCCAACGAACCTGCCACCCCATACTTTACAGTAACGGCGCTGTGCATGTAGCTATAGCCTGGCTTAAGCTGTAATCCAGCGCAAAGCTGTAATCCCATACATTACAGGAAGGGCGTTGGGTCTGAGCCTGACTTAAAATCGCGCTCCTAGCGGCCGGCCCGCCCCAGGTAAGGTTGTCAATTAACCCCAGCCAGCAAGAGACAGATTTTGTGTAAACACGGCCTTGGGTATTGTAATGTAATCTCCAACTTCCAAGCAGATTCTGTGGGGCAAGGTGAGTCCATATGCATCGGCCTCCTGTGTCCATTGGTCTCCTGTAACCGCTGGGGTGGCCAATGGTTACAGGAGGCCAGTATAGACTCCCCTTTCCCCTCAGAATCTGCTTGGAGATTAATTGTGATGCTATATGGCATAGAGAAAATCCTGCTTTACGCCAGGAGTTTTTGGCAGTGCTTCAGGTACAATTTAGATTCACGCGAACAGGCTTCTGTTAAAGCTATGCTGAAGGTCGAGGTGTGTCGGGGTCGTGCCGGGAAGCTCTGTAGGATTCGCCTTCACTTTTTGTCTTAAGTTAAAATCATGGAGAAAACCATATTTTACGGCAGGAGTGGTCGGTGGTGCTTCAGGTACAATTAAGACACACGCGAACAGGCTAGTGTTAAAGCTCTGCTGAGGTCGAGGTTAGCCAAGGTTGTGCCAGGAGGGTCTGTAGAATTCGACTTCACTTTTTGTCTTAAGTTAAAATCATGGAGAAAACCATATTTTACGGCAGGAGTGGTCGGTGGTGCTTCAGGTACAATTTAGACACACACGAACAGTGTTAAAGCTGCACTGAAGGTCGAGGTGAATTAAGGTCGTACCGATAAACTATTGTAGGATTCGCCGTCACTTTTTTTCTTGGGTTCAAAACATGGAGAAAGCGATGTTTTACGCCAGGAGTGGTCGGCAGCGCTTCAGGTACAATTTCGATTCACGCAAACAGTCTGGTGTTAGAGCTACGCTGAAGGTCGAGGTGAATCAAGGTCGTGCCAGGAAGCTCTGTAGGATTCGCCTTCACTTTTTTTGCATTGGTTCAAAACATGGAGAAAGTAATGTTTTACGGCAGGAGTGGTCGGTGGTGCTTCAGGTACAATTAAGACACACGCGAACAGGCTAGTGTTAAAGCTCTGCTGAGGTCGAGGTTAGCCAAGGTTGTGCCAGGAAGGTCTAAGTAGGATTCGCCTCAACTTGTCTTGGGTTAAAAACATGGAGAAAAACATATTTTACGCCAGGAGTGGTCTGTGGCGCTTCAGGTACAATTTAGACACACACAAAGCACAGGCTAGTGTAAATGCTACGCTGAAGGTCGAGGTGAATGAAATTAAGTCGTACTGCCAAGGTCTGCCGGATTCGCCTCCACATTTTGCTGTGGTTCAAAACATGAAGAACGATATTTTGACGCCAGGAGTTGTTGGCGGAAGTGCTTAACGCTTGGGGTGCAATTTAGACACACGCGAACAGACTCTGGTGTTAAAGCGCTGCTAAAAGTCGAAGTGAATCAAGGTCTTACTGCCAAGGACTTTAGGATTCTCTTCCACTTTTCCTTGGGTTCAAAGCCTCACCTATCCCAATTTCACAAGACGTGAAGTCTGACCCCCCGGGACCCCCCTTTTTCAGGAACATCAGGGACGCTTAAGACGCCAGGGATTGTGCGTCAATGGAGGAACGGGGAAGGGCAGAAGGAAACTCCCAGAATCCACTTTTATCCTTAGGTTCAAAATGCCCCCCCCCCCAACTCAACACCGCGTGTCTCAGACGGGATGTCTACCGACCCTCTGGGACCCCTTTTTTTAGAAACACCAGGGACGCTAAAGACGCCGTGGATTGTGCGTCAATGCAGAAACTGGAAGGGATAGATGGGAAACTCCTAGAATCCACTTTTATCCTTAGGTTCACACACACACACACACACACACACACTTGTAACCTTCATACTGACCCATTGGGACCCCCTTTTTCAGAAACACCAGGGACGCTAAAGACGCCGTGGATTGTGCGTCAATGCAGGAACTGGAAAATTACATGGGAAAACTCCTAGAATCCATTTTTATTCTTAGGTTCAATGCCCCCCCCCCCCAACTCACACACCGGGTATCTAAGACGGGATATCTACTGACCCTCCGAGACCCCCTTTTTTCAGGAACATTAGTTTGTGCGTCAATGGAGAAACAGAAGAGTAAGAGGGGAAACTCCTGGAATCCACTTTATCCTTAGGTTCAACCCCCCCCAATACACACACACACTGCACGCCACGAGCCTAAGACCCTCTACCGACCCTCTGGGACCTCTTTTGCAGAAAAATCAGAAACGCTTAAGACGCCATGGATTGTGCGTCAATGCAGGAACTGGAGATTCGAAACTCCTGGAATGAATTTTTATCCCTGGGTTGAATGCCCCCCACCCATCCACCCACCCACACACACACACACAAACTACACGGCACATGTCTATATAAGGCCACACCAAGTAAATTTTATGGATGACGTCCGCGCGCGCATTGATTTTGGCCTGTTCCTAGAAAAAAAACAAGAAATTCTGCTTCCCGTAACTATGACCAAAGAGTCACGACAGTGCTGCAAATCGTCAGATTGACGTGAAACCCGTAACGCGAAAACAGGACAGGACGACAACTGCTGTTCCACCTGATTTATTGCTGTTTTGATGATGAATAAAAGACTTCTTGCTTATTACACTGTGTCGCCTCATTCGATTTGTGTCCTAACATTTGTCGTCTCTTAGTATATTTCTAATCTAGGCATCTTGTTTTTTAGGGCCCTTCTTGTTTTTTTTTCGCCCTCTCGCATTAGATTTAGGGTC